TCCTTTGCGTCATATATGCATTGTTTTCATCAATGCACATCTATCAACGAATTAGGCATGGGCACAAACCGAAGATAACTAACCATCACCAATCGCTCGGCGTAGCAACTTCGTTTGATCCACCAAAATCTCTTAAATCGCCATCACTATAAGATAACCTCGGACAAAAAGTGAAGACAGAGGCGACTCTTAATAGAACTACAAATGTCCTCGAGCAGTTGTAGTCGATGGAGAAGAAGCCCTATTCACCAGATTATGAACGAGATGCGGCGGATTTCCAAACAGGGTTTAGGAAGAGCGAAACCACAAAAGATAGAAGGACAAAGACATACCCAATAGATGCTGCTTCGTCGCCGACCTAAGCATGCTCCATCGCGGGAATTGCAAGGGAGAAGGATCTATAAAGCAGATCTACGTCAGACGAGATACGTGAGGCAAGTGCCAGACAGTAGCTGGTCCCCACTGTTATCACTCGCCGTCGACTAGCTAGTAACCACGGCGGATGACAGCCCAGACACCTAAGTGTGGCCGTCACGCACAACGAATCTTCAACCCACTCACCGCGAAGAACATGGCAAATCAAGTGGATCTGGAAGGTACAATAGCCTGAGAACAATTAAGACACGGAAGGTGATGACCCTCTCATGGCACCGGTCACAAATGGATACCGGAGAAGTGAACAAATCTCATGCGAAGAAGAAGGTTCGACGAAACTTTGGGAGAGAAAGTCGCGGCGAGTGAACTTCACGCGCTCGACTTTGTGTTTTTTTTCCTTATTAGGTAGTCAGCTAATCTATTTAGAAAAATGAGAAAAGGAAAAAACTATCGCCTATGAAGTATTTTTATTTGATTGGTTTATTTATACGGTGAATTTGGTTAATAACTAAAAAACCAAAATATAAAACTAACCATTGAGTTAGAATGAGATAGACAAAAATAAAAAGAGAAAAATGTGAATTTTTGTTACTTTTTACATTATTGGTTTTTTTTGTTCCCCTTATTTATAATTGTTGTGAAAAGTCAAACATTACCGCATGTGAATTTGCATTCACACTTGTAGTGAGAAACGTTTTGTATACGATTAATTCATGTAGATCTTATTGTTACTATACATGCACAGTAAATTCTATCATTTTATTGTCTATGTAAAGAACATATTCGACGTCCGTTTGTAACATCAGAACTTATTCGAAACATAATACAATCTCTCTCGTTTTTCGAGGATATAATTTTTTCACTTATTCAGAAAAATCTCTTCCCCATAAATATCCAATTACTTTTATAACAATGGTTTTATTTTTGTCAACTAGATTTGGGTCCATTTTTTATTTATAATTCTGTGAATTTATATTACAATTAATTACGTGATTTTATTTATTTTATTTTTTTGTCGTCAAATGTTTCTATTCCACTACAACACATTACATTGGCCATTTTACAATGTATATTTGATAATGTATTCTTGAATGTTTTGCTAAATGATCCACATGATCATTTGTTTGACGAGAAATGTTAAGAAAAGTAAAATTACAAAGCTTTGCTACCTTAATAATATCCTGAAGCTGAACAATATAAGGAAGATGTCTTACTTGTGGAGAGTCAAAATCCAAATTTGTGTGTTGCAGTAATACATAAACTTTTTGAAGTCTCCACAGAAAGTTATATCCCGATAGCCTAGTCTGTGTAACTCCACAACAAACATTTTCAAAGGTTCAATTTCTGCATGTTCTGAAAAGTGCGTAGGTGGTAAAGATCCCAAACCACTAAGAACTACTACAAGCTACGATCATTAAGACTCCGTTCTATGCCTATATTGTCATTTTGAGAAATCCAAGACTCTATATTTTTTTTTTATAATTCTGTGAATTTATATTACAATTAATTCTGTGAATTTATATTCTGTGATAATATGAGCCTCGAAACCGAAGCTCGAAGAAAATAAAAATCTAGGATCACTACAAACGAGCACATGATCGTTACGTACAATTTACGATAGTACCATCCACGTGGCATTTCTTAAGAACACTCCATGATTTCACTCACATACCCTTCTGCTCATTTCGTCTCTGTTCCAAGAGAGTAGAGTAACCCTCGCATTTCCATGGAAGCTAAATCCCTCGCGGCGTCTCTCGGTGGTGACCGTTTATTGATATTCCCGACCTATCCTCGTTCTTCCTTCGTTTCTACAACACGGCTCTCTCGCCTGCCGCTGAAGCGTACGTGTGTCGTTGGTGTTGCCTCTTGTTCCGGTGCCGATGGCTACCGTCGCTTGTCTCTGACTCGGTGGAATCCGGTTGTTTCGACTCGCCGACTCGTCCCTGTTCGTGCAATTGACTCTGACCTCCCTCACCCGATTCAGCAGGTGAGGTTTTGAAATTTGAGCCTATGATTCCATTTGACGAGTGAAGGTCTCTTCCGAGAACAAAATTTATTATGATTTCGTTGAATTGTTGAGGTTTTCGCTTAGGTTTTCGTTGCATTGTTCTCACAATTTTGCTTATGGACTCCGATTAAAACACAGCTTTTGTTGCTGGGTTGATTTGATTTTGAGGGTTTTCTCTTTCTCAAAGGCATCTTCAGGTTTGGGCAAAATTAAGGAATACGAAGAATGGGATTCATGGACGGCCAAGTTCTCCGGTGGAGCAAACATCCCATTTCTGATGCTGCAATTGCCACAGATTATCCTCAATGCCCAGAATCTTATGGCGGGAAATAATACCGCCCTTTTGGCTGTCCCATGGCTGGTAAAATCTTGATGCATCAAAATCTCACTCTAATCAGTGTGTATCCATTTGTATTCACTAGAAGCTCATTAGGGGAACAGAAAGTCTAAGCAAGAAGCATAGTTATTTTTAATGTCAATGAAGTTGCAGGATTTGCATATACCAGTTTGTTCTTAGAGAATTTGGTTGACGTGAGAAAATAGAATCTGAAAGTGCACATTTTGAACACAGGGGATGTTGACTGGTTTGTTAGGAAACCTTTCGTTGCTTTCGTATTTCGCTAAGAAGAGAGAAAAAGAAGCAGCTGTGGTGCAAACACTGGGAGTGATCTCTACCTACATTGTGCTTGCGCAGCTCACAATGGCTGAAGCAATGCCTATGCAATCTTTTATTGCTACTTCGGTCATTGTGACGATTGGTCTCGTATTGAACTGTTTGTTCTATTTCGGTAAGCTTAGCATCACGGTGTGGCGACTATGGGAAGACTTTATCACTATTGGTGGACTCTCCGTTCTTCCTCAAGTAATCTCTTTACTTCTCTTTTCCCATCAAGTTTTGTGTTTGATCAATAGACTCCATTGACATGTAATCCGAAGGCATTAGAGCAGATACTTATATTTAGTTAGACAATGACATCCTGAATTTGAAATTGCAGATCATGTGGTCGACTTTTGTCCCCCTTGTACCAAACAGTATTTTGCCTGGGACAACTGCTTTTGTTATTGCTGTAGCGGCTGTAATTATGGTAAGCTTTTAAAGTCCTTATGCTTTAGTTCTCCCCATATTTTTCTCTGTAAGTAACAGGTACACATTCTTCAGTCATATTGGTCACTCTAGCCTCTAGGATATTGTTTACGAAACCTTTTTAACAAGTCGTCATATCATTAAATCGTTGCCATGGAACAAAATTGTTAAACAGACGCTGACTAGATTCTTAAACTTTGTTGACCTCGACGTTAAATTGGGCTAACTCCCAAAAGCCAAAGCTTTCTGTTGCAATTTCATTTCCAGTCCCTGTGCTGTATTTTGGGCTATATAACAAAAACAATATGCAAGGACATAGGAACTTGCTGTTATAGAAAGGATGAAATGGTGGCCTTGTCGCAGTAAATGATTTGCTGGAAAGAGCATTTTCTATAGGTTTGTGTTTGGTTTCTCTCTGACATCTGACTCCTGGGTTCATAGATCCTTCACAACAACTGTTAAGATGTGTGGTTCTGGATTATCCAGATGAAGCATCCTTCCTCTCTTTGAACTTTCCGCTGGTAAGAATGCAGGCTCGAACTGGGAAACTCTCGGAGGAAGGTGTTAGGTTTGTCGGGTCTTTATCTGGATGGACAGCGACACTTATGTTCATGTGGATGCCAGTTTCTCAAATGGTATAAAGTCTTTTCTTCTCTTGTTCTTTAAAATATTTCCTAAGTGCTCTTGCCTTGTTCGATAATTGATGTTCTTCTACATACATTTCAGTGGACAAATTTTCTAAACCCAGAAAACATTAAAGGCTTATCAGCGATCACAATGGTACTCGCGATGATGGGGAATGGGCTTATGATTCCACGAGCACTATTTATCCGTGATTTGATGTGGTAAAGCTAAGCCTTCTCAATTCAAAGCTTTTCAGCTGAAACTATATTCACCCATAGTAACAAACTACTTGATGTTCATCCAACCATGATGATGCAGGTTTACTGGTTCCATATGGGCAACTCTCTTTTATGGATATGGAAACATTCTTTGCTTATACATGTAAGACTCCTTGCACACCTCTTTTGAAATGGTTTTGTTGCTGAGCACTTGAGTTTATCGATAATCCGAGAATCTCCAAATGCAGGTTGAACTGCACGAGCAAATCATTCTTCGCAGCCGCCACAATTGGTTTGATCTCATGGATAGGTTCATAACCTCAAAGATACTCTTTACATTATCATGCTTCTCCAAATGTGAAATGTTCCTAAAACACTTGTGTGTGAAACAGGACTAGCTTTGTGGAGAGATGCAGTGGCTTATGGTCACAACTCGCCGTTTAGTTCTTTGAAGGAACTGGTTTTTGGACCATAACTCATCCGAGTATAAACGCCATAAATGCCGTTCATTTCAACTTTTCAAGCAAGTCCGTAGGTTTTACTTGCTTGATAAGTCCTTTATCCATGTACTTTTTATTCATTTTCCTAAGCTATTGTAATTAGAACGTCTATCTTGTGTAAATTTATGTAACGTTTAATACTTTTACCTTACTATTATTTTATCCGAATCAATATGAAAACATTTTCTGATAGGCAAGATAATTTT